CAAACTGTTTTTAAAATCAATAACTTAAATTTAAATACCTATGTGTCATTAATAGCTATCCAATTGAACAGTGCAGATCAAGCAGAAGGATTTCAGGCAGAGGGAAAAGATTGTGCAAAGGTCCTGAGGATATGGTTACCCTGAAAACCCAGCACGGCTCTGTGTCTAAGCTATGTTCAGTCTTTTAAAGAGCAAATCTGGAAAACTTAAAAATGCTTCCTGCCTCTGTTTTTTGGGCCCCTGGAGGACCTCCCGAGGAACAACAGTTAACCAGATGGGAATTAAAAACCTTCCTCAACAAAGAACCAGTTTCCTTTCCTAGGAAGGGCTCATTCCCACACTGACTCACAACTCTTGACTGGTTTCCTCTGCTAACGGGCTGTGGCGGGCCTTTGTGCAGGATGTAGCTGTTACATGGCCGAGCTCGCTCATTCTGTAAACGAATCCTGCCTTTGTTCATTCTGTGTACCTTTCTGTAACTAGAGGCTGGGAGCTCAACCGTTGCTCTTTCAAGGAGGTGCTTTGTGTTCTTCTTACTGCCTTCCATCCACCCCAGGGGCCTGAGACCTCATTTTTTCTGGCTTTACTTTTCTTTTTTCCTTCCTTGCAAAAGTTGATGTCATCAGCCCTGATTATAAAGAGAAACTGGTGTTAAGATGGAGTTTTACCTTGAGTTGCCTCTTATGTTAAAAGGGTTAAGAAAAGAAAAGAAGAGAGGAGAGAAAAAGAAAGGTCCCAGGAGTGTTTCCAGTGGCTTTCTCACATGTCACGTATGCATCAGGATCTCTTAGGCTGTGAAGCCTCCCTACCTCTTGGTCAAGAATTGGGCTCTTCACGCAGCCACTGATCTGTAGGGGGAAGTGGCCACAGCAGGGACAGGCCCTGCATATGCGTGTGGGTGGAGGTTCAGCCCCCAGGAAGACTCGGCTAAAAACAGAGACCAGGTGGCCACTCCTGCTCAGCTTGCTGAAGATTAGAGGAGGCCCAGCTTTAGTCTCTAGCCCCAGGCTCACCTGGTTTTGTCATTGGTCACACTCTCTTTGCACTGGCCTACCCCAAACACAGTTACCTAAAAGGTATACAAAACTGAGCCAAGGGGATCAAAAATGTTGAAATGTAGATCACAGAACCCTGTCCACCTCTGGGTGTTGAGTGGTGACCCTGCCTTTTCCTCTCAGTCCTTCCTGTCTGCAGTTAACTCAGAGGCCCTCCTTCCGCCCCCAGAACAGCTAGGGTTTGTCGGGGCAGGCAAGGGGAAAGGGTAGAGGCTGTTGACTTTGCACTGTGGCACTTACCAAGACACAGTCTTGATGTTGATGACCTTCATCTCTCTGGTGAGAAGTCTCAGGTCATAAAATGAACCTTTGTTTACACCTGAGCAACGTGCTGGCATATTCTGCCTGCTTTGTGCAAGGTGGCTTCCTGGAATACAAGTGTGAAAGGGGAAAACCCGTCTGACTCATGTGTTTGGCCTTAAGAGAAGATAAACATGGCCATTACCTGCAGAGATGCCTCACTTCTCTGTGTGCCCTGCCTGTGCTTTTTGGCATATAGGTCCCTAGAGGGAAGCACCTGCTCTGGGGACGGGGCTCTGCTGGACAACTGACTAGCACGGATTCACTGGAAGGTCCTTATAAGGTAGTAAGGCAGGGTTACCCCAACTGAATTCTTTGTCCCTAAAACTTTTCTTTTCCATGAGAAATAAATATGTTTGTTAAAGAAAAATTGGGATGTCTACAAAAGTAGAAAAAAATTGCCTAAGATTCTACCATCTAAACACTGCTGTCCCTGTTACCATTTTGGTGTGTTCTCTAAGAGTATTTTTTTTCTATCTGAGGGTTATTCTGCCTTTTACATGTCTGTAATTATAATAGATATACAATTTGTTTACCAGTTTTAATTTAATATTAGTATTAAATAGCAAATGGATAGTAAGCATCACTTTTAATGGCCGCACAGTATGGTTTTAAGTTCCTGTGAACTTGGCACATGGGTGTTTTGAGCCAGGCAGACTTAGTGACAGGCAGGAGGTCACACAGCGAGTTGGTGAGGAAGCCAGGCCAGACCCCATGTTTCCTGCCTCGCTGCAGAGTTTCCCTGTGCTCCTGGCTCTCAGTCTTTCACTCCTGCATCCCTCACACATGGGCTGTGAACCCCTGCCATGTGTGTCTCTTGTTATGTTCTTGTGTATAACTCCTGGTTCCACCTTCTACTGAGATCAGTATCCCCCTGCTTTGGGACATTTTCCCAGGTATGGAGGCCGAATTATGCCCTTCCATCATGCCACCTCAAGAAACTCATATCACAATAGATAGCAGTATTCCTGTGGACCAGATTTGCTTCCTGCTTCTCCCAACCCAAGTTCCTCTCTGAACCCTTTCCATGCCCTTGCATTGGTGCTAGCTCCGTACAGGAGAAAGCCATAGGGACCACAGGGACACATTTGGATGTCCGGCAGATGGCGCTGTGCTTGATGCTCTGGCAGCTGCTGCTGTCAGGGTGGTCGGTTAACATGGCTCCCCCCACTCAGAGACCTTCCCTCCCATTCAGGACTGGCTTCATGGGCATGTGTTCACATAGGGCCCTTTGCTTAGAAGGATTCGGTGCTTGGTTTAATGCTCTACTGTTAACATCTTGAAGTTTTAATAATTTTTGAACAGTGACCTTGTGTTTTCATTTTGCACTGCATCCCACAAGTATGTAGCTAGTTCTGTTCTCATGATCAGAACACCTACCTACCACATTCATATTATTTTACTCTATTAATTCCCTTATGACTCACCTTACATTGGGAGGTTTAGTGGAAGGATAAGGTTTTGCAGACCTTGTGTCAGATGACCACCTACTGACTGTGGGACTTTGGGTAACTTACCCAGTCATTTTGGAGCCTCAGTGTTCTCATCTATAAAGTGGGTATAGATATCTTCACAGACTTGTGAAGATGGAGAGAATATGTGGTTAGCATAATGCCTTGCATTTCCACAATTTCCACATTCAATATTACCTCATGTTCCTCCTGCCCTCCTTGCCTGGCATGGTGTTGGTAGGTATATAGTAGGTGCTCAATGTGTGCTTACTACATTTCAGATTGGGATGGTCAATTTGTGCATCTTCATTTCCAAATGGGGCCAAGGTTTGCATCCTAATCTCTGGTAAGAGCTAGAATCATACACTTAGAGGGTCTAATTCTAAGCAATGACTTTACTTCTTCTGGGGAATCACACTCCAGGCTGTCAGGGCACCATTTTTCTTAATAATGAAGTTTGCCGTCAGTGTATCACGCTATGGCTCTCACCATAGCAGATCCTCAGCCAGCACTCTAGGCACTGGGCTCGTGGACATACACCTCCCATAATCCTGGAGGCAGGCATGGTCCTTACCCCGTTTCCCATGGTTAACTGTGCATGGCTGGCTCTGGGGTTGTGTCCTTAACCACTATATACCACCACTTCTCCTCTGGGGGCAAGGGAGTGCAGAGCCTCAGATATGGGTTGACAGGTATTTTTCAGTAAACTTTTAGCCTAACAATGTCCTGAGCAGAATGAAACAAGACAGGCACGGAGGAAGGGCAACATGTGCAATGGCTGATTAGAGCTGAGCCTGACGCTTTGGGGAGAACCAGCAGATCATGGGAAGGACCCAAGGACTGAGCAGAAATGCAGCTGCGGCCAGGTTGGCTGGTTCCCGCAAGTCAGGATCTGGGACTGGCGCCTTTAGGTGTCTGTGGCTGAGTCAGTGGCAGAGGGCCAGGTGAGCCCAGGCAGCCTGCGGGCTATTACTAAATTAGGAAGAAAGAGCCCTTGGGCTCTCCAGGAAGCTCCCTGGACAGGTGGGCGGTGGACAGGCCTCTGGTGGGCAGCTGAAAATGGGCTGTTCACAGACACGACTGGCTCTCACTTGGGCCTTTCGTGCACTGTAGGAATGTCACAGAGTCCGAGCAGTGGGGAAGCCTCCCTGTTGCCAGTGGCCACCCCCCCTCTCGGCCCCCAGGGGTCCAAGTAAAACAGGAGAATCCAGGAAGCTCTTATCCCAATCCTTTATGAACTCTTTGGGGAGGTTTTTCCTTTAAAAAAGTATACCCTCCTGACTGGTTTTTGAGAAGGGATTATATTGGATGCTGGGCATCACAGATGAACATCAGACCATCCAGGCAGGACAAATTGGGATGATGGTTGCTTTTTATGACCTGGCAATGCGGTCCCTGCAATAGCACATTTTGATTTTGAAAATCATTCAAAGGTTTAGCTTGGTTTGATTGTGTCAGTATTAGAGTGTAAGACTTGGAAAGAGAAGAGAGAAAATAGTGGCAGGAGTACGTGGCTTCCTGGGGAGAAAATGCCCCAAGTACCTCAAGAATTAAGCCACCAATCTGGCCATGCTCCTTGCTGGATGCAGCATCTCCAGTCAATTCCCCAGGGAGAGGGGCTTCTCGGCTTTGGTTTCCTCTCTTTCTTTTGTTGGTATCCTATTTTCTGCAAGGCTTGTGGAAGGGCTTAGCCAAGCAGTTTCTCACCTGTGGCACTACTGAAACTATCTCAGGCTGGCCTGTGGGGTCTGTTCTGAGCATCGTAGGATTTTAGCAGCATCCTTGGCCTCCGCCCAGTAGGTGCCGGTAGCATTCTCCAAGTTCTGACAAAATGTCTCCAGCATGCCCTAGAGGGGGGAATCACCCCCAGTTAAGAGCAACTACTTAGAGCAGGAGACAGTCCATTTTTCCTGCTGAAAGTACTGCATTTCCCACTCGGCAGGTGAAATGATGTGTTACCTCCTGCATCTCCTGCTCCTTTAAAAAAAAAAAAAAGAAGGAGGAGGCAGCGGAGTCAGTTTATCAATGCTGTCTGATGAGGCTGCATCGCTTGATGTCCTTTTGGGTACCTCCGGGACCAAATTGTCCCCTACAAAAACCCAGAGTAAAAACTAAGCAAGTAAACAAACCAACCAACCTCCATCACCACCACCATCAGAGACAAAAAGCCGGCAAATAAACCAGTACAGGAGGCTTAGGAATTTTATTGAAAATGGCCACGTGATTAGCTCCAGGGCCCCCGCTTCAGAGGCGCTCTCTGGAGGCCTGTCTGTGTAGAGTTGGCCTGGGTGTTGATATGTGAAGAGGCTGAGAACATGTGGCATAAACATCGACTGCTATTGTTTGCCATTTACACTCAGCATGTGTAATGCGGCAGGAATGGCTCCTCGCTGCATGTGACTCCCTTCCAGCCCGGTATGCGGTGTGCTGGGGCCTCTTTCTCTTTCGCTCACTTCTTCGCTTGCAGTCCCCCTCCTCTGCCCCTTCCCAGAATCTTAAGTGGACGCTTGTCATGACTGGCATGCAGAAAGCTGGTAGAATGTCATTGGAATGTTCTAGGCAGGCAAATGAGCGACACCCAAAATGACCCCCGGCTCCGGTGGCCTCAGGTAAGCATTCAGTGCTGGGCGCTCCGGTCTTTTTCCGAAAGGTAAGGTTGTGTGGTGTCACCCTACCTTTCCCCGGGAAAGGTTCCTTTTTATTCTCTAGTCCAGGCAGCACTTCTGACCATGTTCTTGGCGCTAAGCGTTTGTGCTGTATCCCCACCCCATCCTGTTTAAAAAAATTGTAATAAACGATTCACAGCGACAGGGTAAACATGTGACCTCAGACATCTCCCCGTGACCCCGGTGATCCCAATGTCAGCATGTCTAGATGCTCTTTTTACGCTGGTTACTAAACTCTTTTATAAACAAAGTCGCGTGGCCACGGGAAAACAGATTGCGCGACCACCAGACCTGAGGGAATGGAAGGGGACGTTTTCGGAATCCTGAAACCTTATAAATGGTGAGGGTCTCTTAAAGTTGAGACGTTTTGTGTTAGTTGCTGGAATTTGTCAGGATGGAAAATGAACGTTTGAAATGTCTCTCATCTGTTGAGTGCAGTCAGGCTCCTGAATGGGGAGAGGAGCGCCGTGTTAGAAGTTAGAGAGCAGGGGATATTTTGCCAAAGAAAGAGGGCTTGAAAGCACCTCGGAAGGAGCCATACTACGCATTTCAGTTACTATTAAGTACTTGAAGTAAAGTTAAATTTCAAAACAAAACTATTTTAATAGCCTCCAAGCAAGCAAGCATATAAACATCTCTTGTGAGTTCAGGGGACATATTTGGAAATAGATGTGATGATCTGTTAGCAGGCTCAAGCACACCAACATGACTCACCTCGTATCTTTATCTGATGCAATTAAAAGTAGCTTCAGCACATTCAGGAGCGGAGTATACTGGTTTTCTCCCTGCAAAAACAAACCCACGCTCCTAAAAATGGCGCGTATGATGGATCTTACATCATGGGAATTTTTTTTAACCTTAAAAAAAATTCCATTATGTAGCTTTGCCATTGGTTTCTGCCTTGTATGTATTGGAATCTCCCCCCCGTCGCCCCCCTTCTCTGCATGTCTTGGCAAAGATGTCAGAAAACAGAAGGGGAGAGGGTTAATATTTTCACACACTTGCCCCCTCCCCCACATGCATACACTAACAGCTGCCACATATGATTTTGTGGAATTTGATATTTCGAATGAAATGACTTCCTTGTTTTCCATAGTAATATAATAATCAATTTTACCATAAAGGACTGTGTTCATGTCCAGTCTTGGCTGCTCCTAATTAGCAATGCATGGGGTACCAGGGGAAAGTGCTGGAAAGCAGTTTTGAGCGAAAAGTCAGCCATGGAGTTTTAACCATTCTTGCCTCAGCCAGGGCAGTTCTCAGTCTGCTTGGATGATGACCACAGGGTTCATTTGTTATGATCTGAGAAAATATCTAGAATGGCACATGCGAATGCAATGGAGATTGGCCTATGCTTCTAACTGTTGTTTCTTTTTGTCTTTTATCTCCTCTCTGCAGTAACTTTTATATGGCCACAGCTGTGTAAGATAGAGAGAGTCAAAAGCCATCTACATATATTCTCTGCCTTGGGGGGCACCTGTATTTTGTTGGCTATAGACAGAAAGACATGTTTCTTTAGGCACCAGAAATTTCCACTGACCTTGGGAAATTGATGTTTTCTCAAATAAATAGTTACATGGTATATTATGAAGTTCCAAATCTAATAGTCTCATTTGCTCCAAGGGACTTAAAAGAAACAATGCACATACCCAGTACACACATGGAAACATACACCTCATACTTCACAGTGAAACACTTAGCATTTTCTGCTAAGGTCTACATTCTTGTGTGCTTGGAGACAGTCATAAATTCAAGCAAGTTGCATAAATATTTGTTCATTGCCTCTGGTTTGCTTGGTGCTGAGCCAGACAGATACTCAGGCATTCGAAAGATTTTAGGATGTGGATGATGTCTTCAAGGGGTTTATAATTTAGAGTCACCTCCAGAAAATGTCACCTGTCTCTGTAGCAGGAACTGTATACTGGGAGAAGTCTTATCACAAAAGACTATTTATTGAGGTGTGTAAAAGATGCTTTAGTACAGGTAAGAAATACTGATTTATTGCGCACTGTGTTTGTGACCCGTTGTGGGCTTATAAAAACTTCAGTGTTTATTCTCAAGTATAACTGAAAACAAATGGTCATTCTGTTTGTAGTTACAAAAATGTCTTGTGGGGATTAAAGTGATGAAGAACAGATTCATTCTATTCCTTTATAGATTGGTGAGTTTCAGATTTTGCTTCACAGTAGTTCTCCTGGGGAGCTACTAAAAATCCCAGTATCTAGAGTGAATCAGAATCTCTGGAGATATGACCCCAAGCATCCGTCTTTTCTAAAACATACCAAGTAATTGTAATGTCACCAAGTTTGATATAATAATACAGATGATATTATAAAAAAATCATTTTAACTTCATGTGAGTTTGGAAAGTAACTTTCCCATAATGATGCTGCAGCTTGACTAAAGAGTTTTTGGCATTCTGGAGTCTGACCCTTCTGTTCTCTGCGTTAGTGTACTCATTGTGAATGGTGCTAGGCTTTCTGTTCAACAAATCTGATGACATGATGCTGAGCCAATCAACTAACTAAATTACCTGCATTTTTATGAACTTGAGTGTTTTGATTCTGGAAGGCCACATGTTGTTGAACATGTCAGCAGAGTCCCTTAAAGGAAGGCAGATATAAGAGTAATTACATTGCCCCTGAAGTTATTTTTGCAGTGTCTGTAAGACCCATGCAGAAGGAAGTCCCTTTGGGTGTACTGGGCAGCTAGTAGATAGAGGTAGCTCCTTAAAAATATAGCTGTTACTCAATTTCTTATAACTCATCATAGCTTCTGAGACTTGGAAGGTAGGTTCAAGATTTTCTCATTCAGTGCTTCTCAAAGTGCAGCATCCTCATCAATGGGACTTGTTAGAAATGCATATTCTCAGGCCCCAGCCTAGACCTGAGGCCCAGGACCCGGGGGTGAGCTCAGCACCTTTGTTTTAAGAAACCCTCCCGATGCCCACCATCCTTGACAATCCCTGCTCTGGTTTCACCATATAATTTTACAGGCAGGTCTGTTAAGTGACAGCTAATGCCTCTCTCTGAAGTGCCCCAGGACTAGAGGAGCAGTAGAGGCTAGAAACCCAAATCTCTCAGGGACAAAATCTACCTCTAAACCATAGCCAGACTATCTTAACTTTTCCAGTGTTATAATGAATAGCTTTAAGACAAACCCTCCATCCTAAACTCATAAGGCATAAAGGAACTGTAAGGGTCTCATTTGGCTGTCCCATTTCACAGATGAGAAAATTAAGGTCTGCAGGGTGGAGTGACTACAATAGGATGTATGGTTATTGGTGGCACAGCCTGTGTAAGGAGCAGGTCTACTTAAAACCATAGCAGAACCTCTACCCCCCACCTCTGCCCCAACTACCCCACCTCTTCACATTCACATGGACTCCTAGTTTTGACTTAAAACACATTGTTTAAAATGCCCAGATTAGCAGTAAGACAACTCTAGAAAAGACCAACTATACTGATTAAGAATTTTAATTCTTTAAAATTAATCTAAAATTTTATTTTGATTTAAAATGGGCTTGAATTCTATAACCATCCTGTTCATTTACCAGAAAAATCTCAGTGATATAAAGTACTGAAAATAAGGTTTAGTGAACACAGGGGCCATTCCTGGAGCATGTGTTTCATCTCAGAATCATGTAGATTAGACATTTATATTTCCTCAGATTATACACTGAGGTTGCATATTCTTTAGATTTAGTTAAAGGGAAAAATGTGGCAACAAATCTGTTTGTTGAATATTTAGAGTTTTATACTTGATGATGCGATTGGTGGTATTTACATAATTTTGACAGTGTCCAAAGCCTGAACCTAATCCACATTCTCTGCAGAGCTTTATCTTCAAAGCTTAGTAGCAACATACACACAGAACATTGAGCCAGGAAAACAAATTGAGAACATGATACACAACTATTATCTCTACACACATACATTTGGAGCAGGTGTGTACATCTATAGAGATGTTCACTGGTTCCACATACCTACCAAGTGCCAGGCACTGTAATGTGAAATAGAACACTTAGTACCTGCCTTCAAAATGATCATGGGGTGCTAAAGACAGCAGATGAGAGATTGAGTACCCACTTATGAGAGAGGGTGGTAGGAGTTAGAAGAGAGTATAATTGAGGCTTGTGGAGCAGCAGGGCATTATGGGGGATCATAGAAGGGGCACCAACTCACATTCTGAATGGGGGCAAGAGTCAGTGAAGGCTGCCTGGAGGAGGTGCCATCTGATTTGCATGTTAAAGGATTATAGTTACTGAGGTGAGGGGGAGTAGGGAAGAGGTTGTCCTGGAAGAAGGAACAGTGCATGCGAAAGGCACTCATGTTTGTGCGCAGTTGTCCTTCATTGGCAGTGGTGGTCTGGAAACGCCTAAATAGTTCATTTGCATGTATAAACATTAGCATTTGTCTTCTTAGAGTACTTGTATAGCAGTTTTAAAATATTCATTTCAAACAGCTTATTTTCCAAGACTCCTACATTCCCCAGAAAAGTTTGCTGGGTGAGAGGGCATCATATCTTATGTTACTGAGAAAATGGGAAGGTCTGTCCTAATCTCAGAAGTAAAGCCAGCTCCCTCAATTTTAGCCTTCACAAAACTGGTGAAATTCTGCCCAACATGAATTTCCTTGAAGAATTGTGTTTCAGGCAAACTTATTCCAGCTTTGAATGGATTCAAGCTGCATTTTACTGTGAATACCTGGTTCTGTCTGAGGAATGCCTTTGTAGAGAAGACCCTTTCAGAATGAAGCACTTTTAGTATTTTATTCGCTAAATCATCATGGGTAGAGTTAAGAGAGCCTCTTCTTGTGCTGAACTGCTTGCTGAAGAGAACAGAGATAGAAGAAATTCAATTATTTTATGCTGGATGACCTGCAACACATGAATCTGAACCAAGCCATATATATAAAAATGGCTTCCTTAAAAGCATTCCCAGGAGCTTAAAAATAACTTACTTTGGAGTATTACTGCTAATTGTTATTCAGTATTGTTCAGTTATCATCACCGTCCTCCTCCTCCTCGTGCTTTGCAGAGCACCTGCACATCTGGGATTTTTACAACAGTTCTCAGAGCAGACGTTAGTATCTCCATTTGACAGATGAGGAAATTCAACCTTGGAGTCATAAGATTTCAAAGGTGGAAGAGATCTTGGAGATCCTTGCATCCAGCATTCTCATTTTACAAAAAGGGAAGCTAACTGCACTACAATCCCACAAGGAGTAAATGGTGGCTCCGGGAACAGTCCTGGTTATTCTCATTTCTAGCTCACCAATTTTGTCACTCCACCATGCTGCCTTCAATCTTCAGGGTATTAAGACAAACTTGGGGAAAATATGCATTCTTAGGAGAAATAATGTTGAAACTAGTCCTACTGTTTTACAAGCACATGCGGGTATAGAAACAGTCTTATTTTTATACTTTTCCTATGTATAGAAAAATACAGATAGACAGCTATATAGATGCACACACCAATGTGGCTGTCACTGGGGAGATAGAGGTGGAATTAGACTTTAAATTCCATATTTTTTTCCAAAAAAAAGCAGAGTTTCAAGGGACTTCTGCTTTATCTCTATAATTTTATTTTTTTGGTAAAATATATCTGAAGCAAAAACAGCCATATAGTACCATTTGTTATCTTGGGGGTGATGGGCAATGAATTCATAAGTATTTGTTATATTCTTCATTTTTTCATTTTCAAATTCAAAACAAAACAAATATGAGTATTAAAAAAGAAATAATCACCTACAATACCATCATTTTATAAAAGAAAGGGTATTTTAAAGAAAGAAAATTGGTTCATAAAGAAGGAAAAGGAAAAAGCTAACATTAGGTTCTTGGTGGTTAAATTGACATGAATTCTCTTTGCTTTAAGTCTTTCCTGTTATGACACTAGCAGAACATTCATTCTTTTCTCTGAACTTGGTGCATTATCTGTTTTCTTTTGCATATTTAGAGCACGTCTGATATCTCATGGAAGAAAGGCAGACCGTTTTTTGTCAGTTATGAAACCACTAGTTGCCCCTTTGTGACTGCATGTCCCACTGTTCTGAGAATCTTTTTCTGACTAATGAGAGTGATACAGAGTACAGTGTGGACCAAAAGGTTGATAATCTGATACCAGATGTATTATTTAAAAGTCATGTCTTGTATGTGCTAAGCTTATTGTAGTAATCATTTTGCAATAAGTGCACATATTAAATATACATACCTACATATCAAGTCATTACATCGTAAACCTTAAACTTACACAGTGTTATAGCTAAGTTATAGATCAATAAAACTGGAGAAGAAATACTGTGACAAGTTGGGAGAAAAACCACAGAGTAAAGGAAGAAAGCTTTATATTTTAGTACGCTTACATTAAAAACAAAAAAACGCAAGCCAAAAAATCACATCCAAACAAGTGGAACCAGTAATGTGGTCTTAGAAGTTCCCTTTAATGGACATGTAAACAGAGGATAAAATACTGACCTTACAATAAAAAGACTCTCATTCAAGTCCCAGCCCAGTCCCTCATTCACTGTTTGTCCTCAGGTGTTTCACCCGACCTTTCTTGGTCTCAGTCTTAACACACACTGGAAATGTCGTATCTGACTTACCTTACCCTGTGGTAGTCCTGAAGCTCAGATAGCTAACAAGATGAAAACACTTACTAGCACTCCAACTGAAAAACATGAGGCAGAAGAAATGATAGGATTATTGTTGCTGTATGAATCACTCCAAGAGGTGCCGTGGTGGTGTGAATCATCATATGGCAATGTCATGGCTAAGGCGCCAATATGGGATAATGCCAGCATTGACCCAGTAATCCCGAAATTAGTCACAGAGGCCTCTCTGGCTTTCACTCAGCAGCCCTATTGTTACCGAGAAGACCACACTATCAAAAAAGTGGGTGATTTCACTCTTCTCCCTACCATGATGAAGGCTCACTTAATGCACGTTGATAGGGACGTGACCCACTGTAGGGCTGCATTAGCCCTGAGGAATGAGGGAACCGAGGAGCCAGCTCCGGTTCTCCCCTGTGTAGTTGTGTGACTTGGGTTGATTCATATATATGTCAACTTCATTGGGTTTCACTCTTTCCCTCTGTAGAATGAGTGGGTTGAACTAATGGTCTCTAAGGCCTCTTCTTATACTTAACATCTGTGATCATTAGCACGAGATTGAACTTTTGCCCTAATATTACTGGGGTATCACAGTCTCTTTGTAACCCGACCCTTAGGGACTGTTCCCTGTGGTTCACATCTGGACCTAGCTTCTAAGAGCATTACAGGAAGGTCCAGAATTAATGAGTTGAAGTTCAGCTCCCAGGAGACGGTGGAAGAGCAGGTCAGCAAAGACCTGACCCTGAGCGTTTGACGTGGCCACCCTATAAATGTCGGACCAAACCTGGAGAATATTCTTTTGCCTGGTCCTGAGCTCTTCAGCCTGGGTTATATTTTATATCTTAGCACGTAAGAAGACATGGCACATTCCTGGCCTGGAAAAGGAACTGAGTTGCACTGGAAGTAAATGTAAAATTCCTAATCATCATCTTGGAAGGTAGTGTGCTCCCTGCAGAGGTGACTGGACAGGTTGGTGGGGCTGCTCCTGGAAGGCTGAAAATGACCAGGGACGAGCTTGCTGTGAGTCCACATAGATTCGTGCTACTGAACTTTGGCTGCACCCTTGTGGCTACTCCACAGCCCTTTAAGTCTGTTGTTGACTGTGTATCCATTCACCAAGCAGCTGTTGTAACTCTGTTCACCGCACAGCCCTGCTTCCTCCCCTCCTTGCAGATGCCCACCCTTACTTTTCCCTTACTTTCTCTCCATATTTACATCTACTTGCGTCTTCCTCTCTAAGGACGATGTCATCTCTCTGCCTTGGCAGGGTCCACCTGCCATCTGCACTGATGGCAACAGGGATAGTAATGGGAATGACAGTGGTGGGAAGGCTAGTAAAGCAATGGTCACTGCTGCATTTGTTCAGTGAACGATTGCTGTGTTCTAGGAGCTGTGTGGACCAATTTACGGATGCCCTGTCATTGAACTCTCAGAATGAGCCTAGAGCTTAGATACAGCCAGCCCTGCTCTAACGATGAGATCCCTGAGGCTGAGAGGAGTAGTTGTTGCCTACAGTTCCCAGCTCACAAATGGTAAACTGGAATTCACCCCCAGGTGGATGCAAAGTTTGAAACCTTAGCCCCTGGCCATGCTGCCTCTCAGTCCTGTTCCAGTGCCTGGATGTCTGGTGCTCCATAAATATGGCTGAACCGATTTTAACTCATTCTGCTCTGAATCCTGAGGGTAATGTGATTATCACCAAGGATGTAAATAATAAATACTGCTTCCTCTGTAGAAGGATGTTTTCTGAAAGGGGAGGGTGTATTGTGATCACACAGAAAATGTTCTCTTTTCAGTAATCTTCCAGCCAGTGCCACACACTTGTATCTGTATGGCACCTAGCAGTTTGCAGAGCATTGTGACAGCTCTTTACTTCCTTAACCGCACATGAACCCTCATAAGTAAATGAGAAAAGACTGTGCTTTCTTGTAAATGAGGACACTGAGGTTTAGGGACCTCAAGTCTGGTGTCCACTGTGACACAGTTGACAAGCACTGAGTTAGGAATGGAAGCCAGGAGGCCTGACTCCTGCAGCTCACAGCCCACTGGGCACTCACTATACACTCCCCTTGCCTCCAAGTGAGAGAAGACTAGAGAACAATTGTATCTTTAATACAGATCCCCTCATCCTAGGGGGATAAGTAGAGCCACTGCTTAATGCGGTAAAAATGGCCTGTTAGGTGCTGAGGTAGGACAGGTGTCTCAATTGATTAGAAGCCCCCCAAAGCCCTACTCTGAGGCTTAAGGCATTATATCCCCCTGCTCACAGGAGCACCTGAGTGGCCAGAGCTGGATCTCTGAACCTGTAAAAGGTTGTCATGCAGCCCTCACCCTGTGGGGGCTCTACCTGCATCCCACTTACACTTTGGCCTCATGGCCATGGTATGGGGTTCTTACTCCACCCGGGGTGGACAAGCATCATGTTTCCCAAACCTCCAAGAAGCACGTTTCCATGGTCAGCAGATACACCAAAGTGCCTGCCAGAGTTCCCCCTGTAGTGACCCCTTAGCTCCAGCTGAGAGTCAGTCCACTCTGCAGAGAAGATAAAGAGGGGCAGGGGGCTGTAGAGGGCAACCATTTGAATTACATGCAGGTTGTTCAAGTTGGTCGGCTTTCTTATTACATTATTTTTATTAAGCTAGTGAAGGAAATGCACTGATTCATGGGCAGAAAAGTCCAAGCAGATCCAGGGGTAGCTGGCTCAAGATATCCCTGTGTGGTCATCCAGAAACTGTCTGTGTCCCTGTCTCCAGGCAATATCTTTGGGTTGGTTTTAATGTCCAGCAGGCTTTCCTTAAGTGGTGGCTTAAATTCAACCACTTTACCAGTCCAGGCATGACAAAACAGCGCCTCTTTCCTGATTGCTCCAATAAAATGTCAGGGTGTGTCCATCCCGGAGCCAATCATGGTGGCCAGGGGGCTCCAACTAGCCGGGTCTGCATCACCTAGGAGGAAGACTACCATTCCCAATTTATGGATAAGAAAATTCTGAGGGTCAGAAAAATAAAGCGACTTAGCCTCATTACACAACAGACAAAGGGAAGCCCGGGTCTCTGACCAAGGTTCACCCTGCAGCTGCTTTTCATCAACAGCTGATGCATCTTTTCATCTGTAGGTAGAGTAATAAGTCCAGAATGTTTACAACTCTTTGTTCAGAGTTCAGGCACAGTCCTTTTCTCTGGTTTGTTATGTTTCTCTAACACATCTGCAGCTTGAACCACTTCCTCCCGCGCCCTGCTGTTCTGGGCTTACCTCAGTCAGACATTCATTACTCTCAGTGTTGACCTGTCTCCCTGCCATCTTGGGAAGGTTTCTCTTTCTCCAGCTCGGTGTCCCTCCCACCTGGCAATGTCACCTGGCATATAATAGATGCCCAATCCACATGGGCTGAATGAATAAGCTTGTGAATGCTCCTTTGGCCCCTTGAGTGTAGCCTGCTTCAAAGCTGCGGCCCCACAGCCTCAGCCTGTCTTGAGTGTTCTCTCTTCCTTTCTGAACCAGGTGAATTAGGTCACAAAATCAGCACCCTGAAAAAGTCAGCACCCTGAACCAAGGAAGGACATTGCCATACTCCTTGTGCCCAAATACTACTCCATTATTGCATCCTGCTTGGGACTTAGAATAAAATGTGAAGGAGCTTTGGGACAAATAATGAGCATTATCAAGCTGGGACAGCTATTGGGCTCTCTCAGTCCTGGTGGATACAGGATTGCACATCCTTTCACACTATGGAATTAAACCATTAGAGTTCTCATCTGGGTCTACAAAATCCTCCAGCATTATAAATGCAACTAGTTCTCCTTTATGTTATATTTTCAAAACTTGAGAGAAATGCTGTTTTCGTGAAAACACACACACACTCATACACACCCCTTTCTAAATGAGCAGGGAACCAGAGTTTCTAATGTAATTATGCACTGTTAATTCTTTGTAGCAATTCCTGGCTCAGGAAGGAAGCCTCAGGCCTGGGACAGTGGGCCCCATAGAGGACTGGTCCACTCAGGCAGCAGTGTGGAGTGATGGGTATCCCAGCTCTGTTCCCAGTACCCCGGCACGTGACTCATGGTGCTGCTGACCATCCTGGCCAGAGCCCTGCAGACCCACTGCCACACCTAGGCTGGGGGCAGAGAGGACATGGCTGGTGCCTAGGACCTTGCCCCCCATCAGCTCCCAGACACGGGGCATCCCTTTGTCACCATTAGCACATACGGGGCCTTCGAGGGGACTTGCATCTTTATACCTCCCTGGTGCTCAATGAGTGCCTTGCAGACTGAAGGCAGTCAGTGTCTCTTGGAACAGAGGGGAGGATCACAGATAAATATGGGCAGATGATTTGGTGATGAAATCGATAGTTCTGGGGCTTAGTGAAGGCTTTGGAGACAAAGCTGTTCTGTCAGGCATCCTGGGTTCTCATTTAGGTTTTACTGCCACCCTGCTGTATGGCTTGGGCATCACTGTCTTTCCCCGCAAGGGGGGTGAATTAGTTGATCCCTAAGGGTCTGCACTTAGCTTTCCCAGGTTGCTGGTGCCCCAATTGGGTAAAGAAAGTTGACTTTGAAAATCAAGAGACCTGTGGGTTTTTCTGGGTCCTGGCTAAGTTCCCAGAGGGTTTTTAGACAATGGGTCAGATGGTCTGTGCTCCCCTGGACCTCTGGGGGCAGAATTTTTACCACAAGGTCCAGCCGTGTGCCCATGCCCATCACTGCCTTCTGGAGTGGAATCCTTTCCTGCATATCCTTTCTTGGTGGATTGCATTAGTCTCCTGTTGCTTCCGTGACATATTACACAAATGTAGTGGCTTACAACAACACAAGCTTCTTATCCTATGGCTCTGGAGGTCTGAAATCCACAGTCAGTCTCACGGGCCAAAGCCAGGGTGTCAGCAGAGCTGGTTCCTTCTGAAGCTCTAGGCAAAAACCCGTTTTCTTGCCTTCTGAGTTTTGGGAGACCACCTGCATTTCCTTGACTCATGGCCCTTCAAAGCCAGCCACATAACATCTTCTCTCCTCTCCGACCTCTGCTTCCATCCTTGTATCTTTTCTCTCTGACTCTGATCCTCCTGCCTCCATTTTATAGGGACTCTTGTGACTACATTGGGCCTACCTAGATAACCCAGGATAATCTCTGCATCTCACCATCCTTAATTTAATGACATCTGCTAAGTGTCCTTTACCATGTACGGTAACATTCACAAGTTCTGGGGTTAGGATGTGGATCTCTTTGTTGGGGTGATGCCACTCAGCCTGCCACAGGGATTGGCCATTCAGTTTCAAAACAGAGACTGGGCCAGGGAGAAGAGGGTATTGCGACTCCTGCTTTGGGATGGGGAATTGTAGGTGGTCCTCCAACCAGAGGGCTAGTGACTCCACGAGATTGCGGTTTAAGCACCATATAACAGTAAAATCCATTTGCTTTCTAGGTAGGTTTATTGTCCTTTTTGAATGTTTGAGGGCCTTGATCCACAGAAATGTATATTCTCAGAAGAGGGGTCCACATCTTAAAGCCACCACGTTCTGATAAGCCGCGTCCATCATCCTCTTTCTTTACTCTATTCTCAGTAGTTACTGAGCTCCCACCACGCATGAAGCAGTGTGCTGGGGAAATGAGAGACTCTCCCAGAGTGCAGCCTTCCCTCCTGGAGCTTATGTCTAGTGGAGGGAGAAAGACACATACGCAATCATTTTTAACACAAGGCAGGATGTGCTGATACAACACTGACAAGCTGAGGTGGTGGGGAGACAGGAGGGTGACAGTAGTTCTGGCCCTGGAGTTGTCAGATCATATGCCCCAATTTTTGGCTCAGAAATATCACTATATGCATCTAAATTTTGGGTTATGAATTCTTATAGGCTAAGAATTTTAGGCCCCCTTTTTTTAATAGGCTCATGTGTCTTTTCCTCTTTATCTACAGTTTTTTGGTTCAAAGGCAGTATCTAGCTCTGACAATTCATGTGAAATCACTTCTATGCAAGGTCGATACAAGTTGGGGGCAATAGAATTTACTAGGCAAAGTGGCAGTTGGAAGGAAAATCTAGTTAATCTTATTTCATGTTGGATCTGAATGGGGAAAGGTTGGTCGCTTGCACCATACTCAGAAAAGCATTCATTCTGCATGGCTGACCTACAAATACCCAGCCAGGTTGGCTTTCCTTGTTGGAAAGACAGCTCTTCCTCGCATGTCTTTTCAGAGGCAAAGGGGAATCTCCAGCAAGAGCTCACTGCAGCCTAGAACACAGTTTGAGAAAATACAGCTGACTTCTGTGGGAAAACAAAACCAACCTTGTCTTAGTCTGGTCATGGAAACCAAGTTGGCACCTCATTATCGCCTTGTTAGCAAGGACAGGCTGTGTTGTAGACAAACTTGGGAGGAAGGGTTGGCCCTGTGTGGGCAGGGTTTTGAGTTAAGCTTAATTGCTCTTCTAAAGCTAAGTTACTTAATACTATACAAGTAAAAATCTATCATCAGACTCTTGACCATCCCCTCTTCCTTTCATATTCTTGCCTAGGTAGACAATTAGCGCCTCCCCAGCTCTGGTGCTGCCATGACTTGTGTCTGGGCCACACGGGGGCCACCAAGGCTTTGCTGCAACCAGCACAACTACCCAGAAGAGAAAAGGGCTGCAACTATCTTTAACCTTGACCTCCCCAGCCCCCAGTATCTTAAAATGCAGCCAGCCTGTTCTGTCCCTGGAGCACAGCAGAACTGCTGGCTGGGTGTTGGTAGTGTCTCCTTAATGACTTATAAGAAATTCTTGCTTTCTCACAGAACAGGAGAGAGTAAGCCAAAGTCATTTTTATCTGGCTCTGAAATGTGTTTCATGCTTGTATTTGAATGTGGGTGTGTCTAATGTTCTGAGAACTGACTTCAAACTGAATAGTGAAGCAGCCCATGAAGAGGTATTCAGAGAAAGCTGAGAAGCTGCATACTCAACCACCTGTCTGCCTTCTTCTCAGAGCCTGGGTGGGGTTTGAATCTGGCATCTGTACTCACCAGCAGTGAGTGTTCATAAGTGGGCCACCTAATCGCTCTGAGCTTTAGGTTCTTGCCCTGAAAAATTAGGGTGAAAATGTCCTATTCCATAGGACTGATGGAGAGATCAAAAGGGGCACCACAGGCTAAGCTCTGGTCACATGGTAGTTTTGCAGTAAATGTCAGAATCTCTCCTGCTCACCTTCCTCCCCATTACCTCTACACCTCCTCCCTGCCTCCCATTCTCTCAGGCCAATGCAAAGCACCTACCTAAGCAGAAGCTCTTTCCTCACAGTGTCTCCAAAGTGGGAATGGTGTGATGTGCTACACAATTTCCATGCCTCCCCTTTTTTCCTTACCTACCCCCCAGTGTCTCTCTAATTTGTTTCATCGTCATCAGACTTTTACTCTAGAGCCCTTGACAGTGGAGGCCTTGTCTGAAGTGTCCCAGCTTTGCAACTTCTGCCCCACACTTCTATAGGCATGTTGAATGTATAGCCTGGGTTGTCCCAATGGTAATCCCAATTTCAAATGCACAATCCCATTCTTTCCATTAACATGTCCTGGGAATTCCGGTTCATTAATGTCCCAAACATATTTCCTAATTACACCCACTCCCCAGAGGGGAAGTTAATGGATTTACAGAGTACCCTGACAATAAACCACATATGCAGCTTTCTGGGACAGTCTGTCTTCTTTCCAGACCAGGTATCCTTGTTCCTGGTCCAGAAACAACCATAACCAACCAACAGAGGTCATATGAAAAGCACATGTCAGACAGAACACCTCTGTCTGCAGTAAGATTCTCTGGGAGCCATCACTGCCTGTGACTTCGAATTCTGATTCAATACTTCTAATTTTTTTGGTTATTCCTTACTACTAGCTGGGTTTGAGACTAGATTCAAGGGAGAAGATCCTCATTGCTTTTGGATGTGAAATGAGGATAAAGATCAAAATGTGTTTGGCACAAATTATATGCACAATTCTCTCTGTATGCAATTTTGAAGTCTGCTTTTTTCACTTAACATTAGTGTACATAGGTTTTTCTCATGTCACTAATTTTTTTTTGGGTAAACAATGTCCTTACCAAATTCAAGATAGTGTCTACAGTTGACAATGATGGGGGTGAGGTGTGGATGGGGGGAACAGATACCCAAGGGGGATTTAGTATGTTGGAAAGTCTCTTATTTTGAGCTTGGTACAGGGCACACTTGTTTGTCTTAAATATTACATAATGTAGAAATTTATACCATTAGTGAATTGTTATTTAACATGTCATTGTGTAGATATATTACAGTTTACTCTGTTTAAAGCTTGCCTTCCCTGAAGTTAGTTGATATTAGTAATTTTCACTTTGGGCTCTTAAATCATGTGGTATTATTAAATGTCTTTGGGCATTAAATTTTGTGTGCATTTCAGCTCAGTTTCTTAGGATAGATTTTTAGAATTGAATTACTGGGTCAAAGAGTGTGACTGTAATGAGTGTATATCACCAGACTACCTTTTAACAAAGTTGCAAGAGTTTAGACTATCATGCTTTTGTGTTCATTCAGCTTTATCTCACCAGTTGCTAAAAAAAATTTGCTGTTTTGCTAGGCAAATATTTGCTTCTAATGGTTTTAGCTTGTATCTCTTTGATTACCAGTAAAATTGAATATTCTGTCAGAAAGTAATTTCTCTGTTGGAGTTTTTCTTTAATTGACATGTATGCATGAGTACAGATTTTTGCATACTCACTTATATGTCAGTCGTATGTGGGCGGGTCTTGTTTATAGGCAGGGTGGATTGGGGTACATGATAGGCAAAGAAAGAGCCCTTGGGCCCCCTTCGTGAAAACCAGTTTGTATCTAGACCTTTGTCTTCCTGCAGTGCAGCCAAGCTCCTGGACAAGAACCCGTTCTCGGTCAGTAACCCAAACCCTCTGCTTCCTTCACCTGCCAGCCTCCAACTGGCTCAACTGCAAGCCCAGCTCACCCTCCACCGGCTGAAGCTGGCACAGACGGCTGTCACCAATAACACAGCGGCTGCCACGGTCCTGAACCAAGTCCTCTCCAAAGTGGCCATGTCTCAGCCCCTCTTCAACCCGCTGAGGCATCCGTCTGTAATCAGTGCCCCCCATAGTCATACCGGGGTGCCCCAACATGCTGCAACCATGCCCAGTGCCCGATTTTCCTCGAATGCAATTGCCTTCTCGCCCACCAGCCAGACACGAGGCCCAGGACCCTCTGTGAGCCTTCCCAGCCAGCCCACTAATGCCGTGGTGATGCATCCTTTCAGCGGGGTCATACCTCAAACTACTGCCCAACCGGCAGTCCTCTTGGGCATTGGCAAGACCGGGCCTGCTTCTGCTGCAGCAGGATTCTACGAATATGGCAAAGCTGGCTCTGGCCAGGCGTATGGCTCTGAAACGGACGGTCAGCCCAGCTTCCTGCCAGCCTCAGTCTCTACCTCGGGCAACATGACTTATGAAGGGCACTATAGCCATTCAGGGCAGGATGGCCAAGCTGCCTTTCCCAAGGACTTCTACGGACCCAACTCCCAAGGGTCACATGTGGCAGGTGGATTTGTGGCTGAGCAGGCCGTGGGCATGAAAGGAGAGGTAGGTCCTCTGCTGCACGGTCCAAACAGCCAATGGGAGAGCCCCCATGGACTCTCTGGCCAAAGCAAGCCTGATCTTACAGCAGGCCCTAACCTGTGGCCTCCAGTCCCCAGCCAGCCCTATGAGCTGTATGACCCTGAGGAGCCCACCCCAGACAGGACCCCTCCTTCCTTTGGGGGTCGGCTAAACAACAGCAGACAGGGTTTCAGCAGTGCCCGGCGGCGGGCCAAGGAGGAGCAGGCCATGCTGTCCGTGCGGCCCCTGCAGGCTCATGAGCTGAATGACTTTCACGGTGTGGCTCCCCTTCACATGCCACACATCTGTAGCATCTGCGACAAGAAGGTGTTTGATTTGAAGGTGAGTCGTCCGAGACCCTGGCTGGGAGCGACTGCTGGAGCCTGGATGGGCTTGACACCACAACCCACTCTTGTTACTCATGAGTGAGGAGCTAGGACATGTGGAGCTTGGGTAACAGAATTTTGCCCATCAGCACCCTTGATTAAAATTGTAGGGTCAGAATTCTAGGCATTAGGAAAGGTATTATGTATCATTATGAAAAATGTAAATAGGAAAAATAAAAAAATAAAATTATAGGTATTAGAGCCAAAATGCTCTTCAGAAATGTATCAGGGCCAGTCCCTTGCTTTAAGGCAAGTAAGAGATTCTTACCCGTGCTTATAGAGGAGAAAGCTGTGGCTGAGTGGGGGGGGTCAGGTGACCCCACTTGGGTTACAGGTAAGGGACTCAGCAGTTGGAGCCTCCTGCCTCTTTGAGGAAGATTTCTCCTCTGTGGTATGCCGAGAAGCTACTGTTCTTGGAGTACATACATTGTTTTAAATAAAGGAGGGAAAAAGCTAGTGAAATATTGGATTAGGGACAAGAGTAATTCTCAGGCAAGACAGGCAAATTATTATGCAAGGCCTCAGCTTTCCTATCTGCAAAATGGAGATAGAGCCTCATGACACCTTCCCGGTGTTGTAAAATGCTTTGGGCTTCTGTAAGCATAGTATAATTTCCCCCAAAACGTGTTGCTGATGCAGTGAAATATTCCAAAGTAATAACAATTGCAGCAGCTAACATTTTAGACCCTCTCTGTATGTCAGCAGTAACTCTGCGGGGTAGAGAATATTATTAGTCTCATTTTGCAGATGAGAAAACAAGGTCCAGAGAGATGAAACAACTTGCAGTGCCCCGTAGCTAGGAAGTGGCGGAGTGAAGGGTTCCCAAATGGGTCTGACCTTCCCAGAGCATGAACATCTTAAGCACAGGGGTGTACACCCGCATCTTTCATCCCATCTGCAGAGCATAACGACCCCTGCTTAGTGCTTCATGGGGGTCACAAAGCATATTGTTCACTCTGCTGGGGTCACATCAGACAAGTGTATCCCTGTCACCCCGCTGGGACATACTCTGTCACCTCCAGTCTCGGGAGGGGGCTGACTGACACCGGGAGGGGATGGAGCCCTTTCCAAGGATTTGTGACTCAGTGTGAGTCCACTGGCTAGATCCTCCCAGGTGGATATAGAAATTGGGGTGTCTCTCTGGGGGCAGGGAGGGAGTGGCAGGAGGGAGGTGTGGTGCGACTAAGGTGCCCACAGGAATCGGACTTGTGGATCTGCGCTCCTATCCCAGCTGGGCATGGGATGTGCTGGTTGGCCAATGGAATGAAGGCTGGATGGGAAGGCAACGCTGGGGAGGGGCCTGGAAAGGAGAGGATCAGGGGTGAGAGATGTGTTGGCAGGGCGGGTCCAGTCTTGGGGTACTCCGAGCTCTCTTCCTGGCTGGGGAAGTCTTTTCACAGACTCAGTTCTACTTCAGTTGTTGATCTTTCCTTCTGGCCTAGGACTGGGAGCTGCATGTGAAAGGGAAGCTACATGCTCAGAAATGCCTGGTCTTCTCTGAAAAGTAAGTGCTGTCTGGAACAGGTCTGTGCATCTGCTCAACAAATGTCCATTGAGCACCTATGGCATGTCACTTTCAGTTCTAGGAGCTGGGGCAACAGAGGGGGACAGAACAGGCAAAGTTTCTGTCTTCAAGGAACTTAGGCTTAACTGGCAGGGGGAGGGGACACAGATGATAAAGAAAATGGACAAGTTAATGACATAGCATCCCTGGTGGTAAATGGTAAGCAGAAAACATCAGGGCAGGCTCCAGGAAGTAAGTGTGTGTGTGTGTGTGTGTGTGTGTGTGTGTGTGTGTGTGTGTGTGCAGGGGCTGCTCTTTGCATTTTAAATAGGGTGGTCAGGGAAAGTCCTCAGCGAGGACACCTCGGCAGGGGATGGTATGAACCTTGCCTGTCTAGGGGACATCCATTCCCAGCAGAGGGAACAGCAGCTTTGGGGGCCCTGGTGTGGCCCTGAGATGCTCAGGCAACGTCAGTGTGACTAGAGAGGGGTGCTGGGCTGAGGAGTCCAGGAAGTGCCAGGGCCAGATCCTCAGTCCTGGGGCATGCTGTGAGAACTTTGCTTAGCTCTGAGGCTGGTTGAAGACTCGGGGATTGGAGGGTTGAGCAAAGCAGCCATGTGCTCTGGGTTCCCTGAACCCTGGCTGCTGTGCTGGGAATAGAAGGGGGAAGGTCAAGGGTGGACCCCCACAGACCACTAAGCAAGGGCTACAAAGTTCTAGACAGAGTGGGGAGCACATGGCCCAACTTGTAGAACAGAGGACTGTTTTGTGGAGTTAAGTGTTTTGAAATGAGCACATTCAAGAGCCCTCCCCTTCTTACTCACAGAAACCAACAGGTGGAAGCAACCCAATTGTCTATGCCAGACGAACAGGTGAACAAAAGGTATCCACACGGTACCATTCAGCCTTAAAAAGGAAAGGATTTCTGACATATGCGACATCATCAGTGAACCTTGAAGGCAGTATGTTAAGTGAAATAAGCTGGTCACTAGATGACCCACTTTTGTAAGTCTAGGGACTTACAGAAGGTCCCTAGAATACTCAGATTCACAGAGACAGAGTAGTAGAATGGTGGGTGCCAGGGGTTGGAGGGAGGGAAACGGGGAATTAGTGTTTAATGGGGACAGTGCCACTGACCTATACACTTGGAAATGGTTAAGATGGTAAGTTTGTGTTATGTGTATTTTACCACAGTTTCAGAAGTAATTTTAAAAAGGTCTTTCTTTTCGGGCTGCCTCTTTTTTTATAGTCTATTCACATAAGACTATTTTAACTATTTTGTTTTATTTTCATTTTTGTTTTTTTAATGAGAGATGGAGAAGGTGCTGGTGTGGCTTTGTGGTGTCTTTTCTCAGTTCACCTTTCTTCATTACTGACTTTCTAAACATTCCCCCCTTCCCCAATGCCTTTGTGATTTGGTTATTTATTTATTTTAAATTGAAATGTAATTGGTATGCAATATTATATTGGTTTCAGGTATACAACATAGTGATTTGACACATATTACTAAATGTTCACCATGATAAGTATAGTTTAATCAGTTTCAAGAGTGGAATTCAGTGATGTTTAGCACATTTACAAGGTTTGAAGATATTACCATTATCTAGTTCCTGGGCATTCTCATTACCCCAGGAAAGCCTGTTACATTAAACATCCCCATTCCTCCTTTCTCCCTGACCCTTGGCAACCACTAATCTGCTTTCTATCTCTACAATTTGCCTTTTCTGGACATTTCATATAAATCTAAGCATTTAACATGTGGTATTTGTGACTAGCTTTTTTCACTTGGCAAAATATTTTCAAGGTTCATCCATGTTGTAGCATATACAACCTTTTTTATGGCTGAGTAATATTCCATTGTATGAGTCTGTCAATATCCATTTATCTTCAGATCTATTTTTGGTTGTTTCTACCTTTAGGCTACTGTGAATAGTGCTACTATGAATATTTGAATACAAGTTTTTGTTTGAACATCTGTTTTCAACTATTTGGGGTCTATGCCTAGGAGTGGAACTTCTGGGTCATTTGGTGAATACTTTGTTTCACTTATTGGGCTGTTGGCTACCCTTCTTCCCACCTCCAGTGCTGGTGCCCGGTGTATACTCGGTTCAGCAGAAGGAACACTGTGTGCCTCTCCCAACAGCACAGCCATTTATAACCCTGCTGGGAACGAAGGTGAGTAAGGCCTCCAGGTCAGCAGCTCGAAGCAGAGACCAGCTTCCCAAAGGCATGTGTCTTATCTTTGATAACCAAGCTTCCCTGATGTACCCTCCTTATTTATCTATAAAACAAATGGATCCCAAGGTGGCTAACCTGCCTTGGGCCTGCTGTCTGAGCTCTTTTTGACATAAAGCCTTGCTGCTTATCAATGGGTCCAGATTTATTACCATGATGATCACTGATCCGTGTTAGGAGGGAAGTTTCACTTTTCTCTTCTGACTTATATCCTCATGACTTTTGAAGGTAATGTAAAAGACTAGATTTTCACCCAGTTTGTGTAATTTATCATTTAGATTATGCCTCAAATCTTGGAACATCATATGCAGCCATTCCAGCAAGATCATTTGCTCAGACAAATCCTGCATTTCCTTCAGCCTCCCCGGGGACAAATGTGAGTACACAAGTGTTGTCTCTGTTGCCAGTCACTGTCATCACCCCAGCATTTGTTATCACTTACTATGCCGGCTTTACTGGAGGAGGCTGGGATGAAGCTGGTGCAGATGTGGCTTTGTTCAGTGCAGGAAGCTGTGTCCCTGGGCAGAGATCGAGAGTCATTTCAGTCAGGTCAGCTAGCACTGAAACACACGGATAAAAAAGCTGACATAAACTATTAAAATTGAAAGCACTCACAGACTTTCTAGCATTTGGCACTAGTTTAGAAAAAAAAGTTTGAGCTTTTGTGTGTGTGTGTGTTTAAGACGTTTTAATATTTTATTGAAGTGGACCATTTCCTATGAGGGGGTAATTCCAAAACTTAGACTAGAAAGAGAAAATTTGTTTGGAAGTAAGAACCATGCATGGATGGTATCTGTCAGCCTCTTGGGAAAATGGTTACGTCTGTTTAATACTTCTTTTAGTTTTAGCTGTGTTTGCCTTCTTCTCTCTTACAATGTACATTTGAGTCCCCGAAAGCCCTAAAGCTTCATCCTTCTCTCTTTCCCTCTTTGGCTTTCCTTTTTACCCACTGTGTGCAGCCTTCTTCCCCCTGGAGCTAAGCCTCCTCTCTTCTCATCTGGGAGCTTGGAAGGCGGTGGGGGCTGCAGAACCCACCCTGAAACAAGTGCCTTGGCTGAATCCTGCTAGAGGGCACACGGCTCTGTGTATGTGCTGTGCCTGTTTTTTTTTTTCAGTTTGTAATGTGGCAGCTGCAGCCTCTTTCTCTCTTCCCATGCAACAAGCAAGCATAAGCACTCGAGAGCAGCCCCACGTGCTGTCCCCTCCACGTGCAGAGACATAGGTGTGCAATCTGGGAAGAGCAAGCTGAATAATGTGGGCCCTGAGGGATGAGTCAGTGGGAGGCGAGGAGGTTCACCATGAGAAGGGAGGCCTGCCCGGACAAGGATTTCTATATGCTTGTGTCTGTTTATTTGTGATGTTTAATCAGAGAAGTGCTTCAAGACAGAGTCCCTGGCTGGAAGCCCACACACGTTTTGGTGGAAAGAGAATTTTGTGGTTTCTCTGTCTGCCTTCTCATGTTTAGGGCCATGCACCATCAGTCCCAGGAGAGGAAAGGAGGGAGGCCTGTCATTTGTCTTTGAGGTCAGACGCCTGATTACATGACCTTGTGTCCCAGTCTCCAGCACTTCCCACGCCAGGGCCTTTTTCCCCACACTGTGGGCCGTGTGTGGGGACTATGCCCCCAGCCCTGCTCCAAGGTCCTGGCACTGCGGGGAAGGGGACTATGACTGAGACAGGGGAAAGAGAGCTGATGTCAGCTGAGGCCTTCTATGCAGGGGAGAGGGCTGAGTGGCTTGAGGAGAAGCAAGGACAGGACAGCTCTGCATCTGTCCTGTGCCTCAACCCTGCTCTCTGGCACTGACCAGAGAACCAGAGGACCTTTCCTGTGGATGTGGAGCCAAGAGACTTAAGTTCAAGTCCTAGTCTAGAGCACCACAGCCAAGTGGCCTCAGGCAAGGCACTTCACTTCTCTGAAGCTCTGTTTCCTATAATGGGGATAGTAACTACCCTAATAATGACTTCTGAAGGTAAACGACTAGGTTTTCCCCAGCTGTGTAATTGATCATTTTGATTATACCTCAAATCTTAGAACATGGTATGTACAACTTGTCTCCTGATGCAGTGGTCAGAGCCAGCTTGTGGGAGAGAGGCTTAGGGTGGAACA